GCCCATGAGTTCAATGACTAAGCATCTTATCATTTCAATTGATGTCAAGTACGGCCTTTGTATACTTCAACAAGATCTATATTGATCAGAGTTATATAGAGCAAATTTACTTCATATGTTAATATGTTGATGAATTATTTATATATAATTCTGCCAAAGCTTGTGTATAATTATCTAGGATGCCTATTTTATTAAATCTCCCAGAACCACGAAGGAATAAACTCTCTTTGCGAGTAATCAGAATAAAAACTTCAATTCAATTTAGTTGAGTTACTTAAATTCTAGAATTAACTTTAATTCTTCTAAAACCCACCTATTATTTCAAATACCCCATCAACTATCAGAGTGATTTATTGCTTGCCGTGGCACATATAGTCGGGTCATGAGGTCATCCGAACTTGAATTTGGTCGCCTCCCGCAACTTACTTACGAGTAATAAAAAAGCTATTTTGGCGTGATTTTGCTTATCCCATTAAACTCCACAGAAACAAAATCGTACTAATGAGAGTATGACTAAAAATGAACGCTGGCAAATAAAACAAAACTTTTATCGAATGTTTACAGGATAAAGAAATTGTTGTTAAAGTGAGGCTACACGATATAAGTGCTGAAAGGAAGTAAATAGTTAAAATTGAGAAAATATTGGCAAAGCTAGGTGAACAATTGGCTTTATTCTTCTATGTATAACCTCTTTTGCACAAAAAGGAGCACTCGATTGACAGACTGAGGAGAGGGTATTGTGAGGTAGAATTAATATTTATATTGATCACAAAATTTTGAATAACTCATGAGCTTAAATTAACCAGGAACTATCCAGCCCTAGAAAACTGTTGGCCTTGGTAGGTATATCTGTTTGAAAAGAAATATAAAGCATATGTGACAATTGCGAAAACATGGATACTTTACGAATCTAATAGAAAATATAGTAGAATAGCAGGCACTTATTAGACATCAGCTGATGAAATTGTGCTATTCCAGGCTGCTTTATGGATAAGGAAACTTAGTCAATGCAGACAAAATGATCAAATCGACTTGACACTTATATAGACAGGGAAGTTGGCTGCATAATATTAAGTAAGAAAGGAGTATGCTGAAATTTAGTTACTTTTGAGTTTTAATAAAAAGCGATAAGATATTATGGTTTAATGTAAATACCAATGAATGAATATTTATCATAGTCCAATTATGACATGCTCTACACTGGTGAGGAGATTGAGAAAATAACTTGAAAAAAAATGGCCAAAATATTTAGGCTCTTGAAAAATTTACGCAAAAGATTTACCAAAACTTAGACGAGAGAATCACTTTACTTGCTATTAGTTCAGTGGCTGGCATCTAGGGATGTTGGACAATTTTGGTGGCAGTGCGCGAATCTTTTGATTCTCTACATATGACTAAAGACTCCGCAAAATTTTAATCAAAATTTTATCTTTAATTACCTTCTATGCGACAAAGTTTAAACGTTTTACCTAACTTACAAATATAGTAAGTAACCACACTTGCCTTCCATCTTTGCATGGCCCACTATGTAAAATCCAAACTTATATGTTTATATGAATCTGTTACTAATCTGCCATTTTATCCGTTTGACTGCTTTTGTTCATGTAGCTACAACGCCATCTAGACGCTACGAAATTGGATGTGGAGAATGTCGAGGTGAGCCGATTCCAGAATTAGCCAAGTGTGTAAACGGCACCTGCATATGTCTACCAGGATACTTGTTGGATGAAAGTGGCAAGGTTTGTAGTGAGTGCCAGTCGACCGCCGATTGCCATCCAGAAGCCAAATGCACCAGCAATCAGGAGTACCAATACTCTTATGGCTGCAAATGTAAATTAGGCTTCATTGGAGATGGTGTGCACAGCTGTACAAGATCAGATATCTTGGAGCCCCCGCCAGTTACAACTACGACCTCCTTACCTGTCAGCAAAGAAGCCTGTGGAGGCCGATGTCGTGCAAGCAACTCTAAATGCGATACGGTTAGCCAACAGTGCCGTTGCCAACGCGGTTACAGCGGTGATGGTATTAATTACTGTGATTGGAACTGTGAATTGTGTCTGCCAAATGCCGAATGCCAGAGGAATGAGGAGAAATGCGTTTGCCGACGTGGATATCAAGGCGATGGTTACACCTACTGCGATGTGATAACTACGCCGGGTAAATTTTTACAAATGCCTTTTATAAAAGAATATGGTTTTTAGAAAGGATTTTATACTGACACAAAAACGAAAAGTAGTATGGTTAATGTTTTTACATTTAAGAAACGGAACGTATTAAGTTTCGCTTCTTCTCTTACATTAATAGTAAGAGGTGCTGTTTCTGATTTAATTCTTTCACCAATCTTGTAAGTTAAAACCTTTTGAAATGCCTGGCGCTAAGCAGAACCTGAGATTTAAAGGTAATTTGAGAAATCATTATTTTCTATTTTCTTATCTTCTTTGAGCTTATTAAAGGCA